CCCAAAATCCCCTGTGTTCCCCCCCCCCCCCCCATAGCCATGCCTCTCAGCGCTGCTGCCACCACCCGCCCTGCACAGCTGAGCTTGCCATGCCTCCACCTGCCTCAAGCCCAGCCCTACCCCGCTGGGAAGAGGCCAGTGCAGCCTCTGGCCCCAAGCCTGCGGTGAGTAGCCCACCCTTGCCCTGCACACAAATCCAAAGGTGCACCCCCCTCCGTCCCTCCGTATACTCCGTGGATGAGCCACCCACAGCTCCATCCTGCTCCCGGCCCTGGGTTTGCATTCACCACCTTGGTTGGGCAGTGCCTGCCCCAGCCCCTGCCCCTACCCCACTCCATCACCATGGGGGCCTCGATCTGCCTCCCCATGCCCCTTCCGCCCCACAGATTTACCGGCAGGATGCTGCTTTCCAAGCTGCCTGGCTGCATTCCTGTAAATCGGTTATCGGATCAATATCAGCTGACATGGCTGGCTGGCTAATAATCAGCTATCAGTATCGGTCAAGAAAATCTTTATCAGTCCACTCTTAGTAAGTATAAAAGTGCTTCTTAAAAGTGTGGTTATGGAGCACCTGTGCTAAAAACTTGCAGCAGTTTCAAAACACAAAATGTACCAAATCCAGATGAACTAAGGTTATGGGAACTATTTGCAAATTACTACAGCTATGTATATTTCAAGTTCATTGTTTTCAAATTTGCTTCTGGCTTCCATGTGCTCAGGGAGAGCAGGGTTTGATAGTGAGGAGGAGGGGAAGGAGTTGCAGGGGGAAGAAGTTGGAGGGAGGCAAATGGCAAGGGGGCTACCTGACCTCCCCATATTTGTTTTCCCTGCTGTAGTAGTGGGAAGGGGACAAATTCAAAACAGATCTCCAATAATTAGATTCTATACTAGGAAAATTACAACAAATTTATACTTTTTTCATGTGTAGAATCTAATCATTTGGGTGTCATCTTATATTTGAGTAAATGTGGTGATTCATTTGTGGAGCGTAGTTCAATATATTTTTGTAGAAGGAGTCAGTCATGGAAAAATGATGAATTTAAGGCAAATTTGTGAATTGGCAGAATACTACATGTGTTGTGAAAGAGTAAGAATTTTTACAAGATTGTGGTCCAGGTAGAAAGCAGATGTCCTGCCATATTCTTAATGCTTGAAGCCAGTGGTGCTTAACCTGTCTGGCCCCATGGTCTGGATAAGTTGGTTGGGACTGGTTTGTGGGCTGGATCCTGTGCATGGGGTTGGCATGTGGGGTCAGTTCATGGGTGCGATCCAACTCGTTGGCCCAGCCTTACATGCAGGCTTGACCTTGGGCGCTGGACTTGGAACAGTTTGACACAGTGAACTGTATCATCTGAACTGCAGGGCTGTCCACAGGTCCAAAATTTTGGCAGTAGGGGAGCAGTGCTGCAACTCTGAGAGCAATTAATGCTTCTACTGCTCCCCCACTGCCAAATTTTGGGACCTGTGAGAAGACCCACAGGTTGCATGATACGGCTCCATGGGCCAGGCCCACAGGCTGGAGGTAAAAACCAGTGTTTTAGCTTATCATGTTGAATGATCATCACCCTAATCCTGGTGGTTTTTTTTCTGTCTGAATACCCTGGTTTGTCGTAAACAAGGCATGGCTTTTCTTACATCCAGTTTCCTCTTTTAAAATACTACACTTTTCAGTCACTGAGAAAAATATTCTATCCTGTAATGTCTGTTTTATGCCTTAAAGCCCTACTCAAGAATTGACTAAAAAAAGAAGAGCAAAGATGAATGATATTCTAAAGGCTAATTAAGAATAAATGATGTCATGGTTCCCCTGTTTCCCAAAAAGTAGATATGGGCAAAACACTATATTTTTTTTAAAGTTTAAGTGCTGTTTATTTTCAGTTGAAGATTTTTCAGGTAGCACTTTTAATGACTTTACATAGGAGATTGTGGGGAGCATTTCCAAGAGTTCATAGAGACTTTAATAATGAGTTAAAATCAGGGAGTTTACAACAGACATTGTTGTCTGAATACAAGGTAGGCTCTGTGCCAGTTTGCTGACTTTGCCCAGGCATTTCCCCAAGTAGAGCATCCTGACTATGCATACAATTATGATTTGTTTTAAGTCAGCCCTGCAAAACAACTCATTGAGGTTGAATGGTTGAATTAATGTAAACTTCCAATCATCATAATTGTAGCAAATGTCAGATGTGAGTAGGTTTTGTGCTGAGGCTGATAAATTCTTGGGGTAGCTTAACAAAGTCTATTATAGTAAAAAATATTGCCCAGCAGGAGTTGATTAAAATGTTTCTGCGCTCTATTGAGGATCAACAATTTGATCCTTACAGGCAATCCCTGCTTAATGCTGTTTTACTTAGTGCTATTTCGCTATAACGCTTATTTGAAATTGATACCTGACTTCATTTAGCACTCAGCGAGTTTCGTTATAATGTTCGTGGTCGCCATCTTGGGTCATTAAAAACAATTGCGGCCTGTATTTTGGGTTGTCAAATACTTTTGGTTTTGCTTAACACTCGTTTCATTTAACACTCAGTTTTTCAGGAACCAATTAATGGGTTGCCTGTATATTTTTTCTAGTGATGAGAAGCTAGGGTCCAGTGTTGAAGTTCTCCTGTATATCACAATTGATAAAGGACAGACATTCAGTAGGCTTTAGCCTTTTTTCCAAGTGCTATTCCATAGTTTCACATCATTTTATGCTACTCCATACACAGCAGGGGAATGGTTTGGAGTTGGTGTAGAGTTTCATTTAAACATGTGTTTTCAAGTTGCTAACTTTATTCTCTTACTTAGCTGCCATTTACCTGAAGAACATGGTAACGCAGTACTGGCCAGATCGGGAGCCACCACCGGGAGAAGCAGTGTTTCCATTCAACATTCATGAAAATGATCGCCAGCAAATTCGCGATAACATCGTGGAAGGAATAATTCGGTCTCCTGACTTAGTGAGGTACATTATGTTATGTATAATATTCACCAAGTCCTGATTTTAGAGGTGGTCAGAACCCATAGTTCCATTTGAAAGCAGTATGAGTATGTGCAGCACCATGGTGCCTGAAGTATGTAATTAGTTTGAAAATAAAATTGTAATAATCCATTTTAGTATGTTTATGTCCATCCATTTTTCAGAAGCACAACCACCTGCATAAGAGCTTTGTGATGTGGTTTACCCTCTTGTTTGAATACTTCATTGTATGGTGCATTGAGAATTTGCTTGCTTCTCTCTCTGTCTCTTGCTCGCTCTCTTTCTCTCTCTATCGTGAGATTTGGCTGTGTTTTAACCTGTGTCTTCTGTTCACAAAGATGAGCTTTACTGTAAAGCACATATAGTTTAAAGCAACTCTGACAATTGCTCTGGTTACTTCCTGTTTATTCTACAATTTCAAGGCACATTGGTGAATGGGATTGTCCCACTGGTGGCCTCAGCCAGCCACTGAATTTCTGCCCTTCACATTATAACGTGAGAACAGATTTTCCTCAAGTCCTTTTCTCAGTTGTTTTCACTGTTTTTATACCTAATTGTGAAGCTTGCTTCCTTTTTTTTGCCAGCTTTTTGTGTATGGCAGTTGCACCCTCAAACATTCTGTGCTGCTCTGTTTGTGCTACAGCTTGACTGGAAGCAGTGTAAACCCATCCAAAAACTTCTGGGGGCAGATTGATTAGTACTGCTAATTAGCTGTTGTCTGGCACTGTGTGGATGCAGCTACACTGCTTCCAGGTGTGTGGTAGTGTGTGCAGAGCAACATAGTATATGTGAAGGCACCCCTCTGGGCCCAGTAAGGTTACGATCTAAACATGGCTGAGGAAAGTTAGGAAATGCTGTTGTGGCTATGCAAGAGGAATGGTTAGAATCTGTAGGATTATTATTAGTTTATGACCATTCATTGCCTAAGTAAAATGACTTTGATGGGGCATGGGCCAGAGTCCTATGGACATGTGTCCAACCTTTAGAAAAAGTAAATATTGCAGTGGTCAGTAGATGGCCTCCTTGTTTGCGGTCTTATCAGAAAACAAATGAGTGAATGGCCATCCTGGGACTAGAGACTACACACCGACCAGGATCTCCATTTGTAGAGATGGTGTCTCCAGGCCAAGGTAGAAGCTCACTGTAGGGAAACTTGTATTGCTGCTGCAAGTAGTGTTACTGTTCAGTGGATAAAAAGGAGGATGACAGTCTGTGCCGTTATTCCAAAATCATTTTGATGTAGACTGTAACAGTTGTGTGTAGGTCTCGCTAGAGCATGGATTAACACAACCATCAATCAGTGCAAATACAAATCATATGGAGGCCCAGTTAACAACATGAAATGAAGTAGGCCTCAGATATGGTATACCTAGACATACCATATATGGATTGCACACAAACACTGGGGAAATCAGCTAATTAGTTTTAAAGGAGCCCTCAAGGCTAGCAGATAGAGAATGAATTGTTGAGACCTGTACAGAATACTAGAACAGAGATCAGAGTAACCTGGCTACATGTGTCCATAAGTGGTGGGAAGATTGCATTCATTGGAAAGAACTAGGATGTGTTTTCTGTAAACATGAAATTGTTTTGATTGGTGGACAAAAAGGGGCCTGGGAACCCTTACTACTTTGTACTGGGTTTAAAGGTTATGTTCAGGTCTGTACTGTGCATATGTCGGTTGGTCATGAATGCTAGTGTCTAGGCTTGTTTCTGGAAACAAAAGACCTGGCTCAGTTTTTGTTATTAAGAATGAAAGCCTACAGTCTCTTTGGAATAACAAGCTCATTAGGGGCACAGGATCACTTGACAGTATCCTGACAACATGCTCACAAACCATCCAAACTGAAGGATTGTGATGTGACCAATAATACTTAACCCCCAAACAACACTACTGGAGTCAGATAACAACACTGATGGAGATCTACATCATGTTATGTGCCTCTGTTGTTTTCTGCTTGCCATAGTAGTGAGAGGAGGAAGTCTGTGCTTCATGTCACAATCTTTTTTTTCCCTTCTCTTAGAAAGCTTCCAATATTCTCAAGTATGCATCTGCTAGTACACTGTTACGATTAATAATGCGAGTTTGCCTTTAGCCCTTTAGTATAAACTGCTTACTATAGCTTTATTTCATGATGTGTTATTT